CTGGGGTGTGGGTGTATATGAAAAAAAATTTTAAAAATGACATCTGTTTAGAATAACCTACTTTAGAAAGGGTTTACCTTCAAGACATTATCTGTTGTTTTAGGAGCTTATTTATTTTGCATTTGTTAAAGAAAACAAAATTAGCATAACTAACCATGTATTAAGCATCTCTCAGTTGCCCATCTCCCAAAAGAAATTCACTTAAAAATTCACTGTTGAAGTGTCTTGGGGTCAGAGGATGAAAGGCTCTATTTAAGTGGTAACAATTATTGTTATTATTCTGCCATGGATAAAGAGGAACAATTGCCTTTAAAAACTATTGTGGACATTTTCATTTTGCTCCCCATACCCCAGAAACAGTGTTTGAGCTCTGAACAGGAGCCACATACTTAAAGACAAACAATGTAATAGAGGGATGGCCTATGGGAATCCAGTATCCTGAAGATCATAGTGGATGCCAATCATAGCCATCCAGGGTGGTATCATTCAAGGGATAACAAGGAAACCTACTGTGTACCATCACTGATCTTGTGTCTATGACTCCTAACTTGACTTTGTATTTTCTTAATGCTTTCCTCATGGTAAAATGCAAGCATTCCTTCAGGTGCATAATCCTTTGAACTTGATCACAGTCGAGTCACTGTCATAAGAATGAACTCCAGGTATTTCTGCATAGAATGGCAAAATCGGGGGGTGTTGGGGAGCCAAAAGTGAAATAAGACATCAAAAAAGGAATTGCAGGGAGCTTTGAGGTTTAAAATAATGCAGAAAATTAGATACAGTAGATCAGTCTCTCACTGACCCCTAGAATGTGATCACTGACACCACAATCCTTAGGCAGTGTGAACAAGGAATACACAAAAACTCCCTTATTGGCAAGTGCTCAAATATGGGGTAGTTGATTCACTCCAACATAGGGTTTATTGTATATCTGAGGTGATAGACTGAGGAGTTGCCCTTTCAGTGCTGAATCTCTCTTCGAACACATCACACTGAGAAGATCTTCATAAATGATGCAATATTGGAATGAGTACCAATTTGCTTACAATTTGGATGTCCTGGAGCTGTACGAGACTTCATGCCAGTATCATCTTTCATTCTTGTCCATTTTATCTAAGCTGTGAACTTTAGCATTTTGCATCAAAATCAGCTGATGTGCTCTATGTACGCAGATTTTATTGAGGCCCCACATTTTCTTGGGGTCCAATAAACCCACTTAGCAAATCTTCAGAGGCTTAGCTAAAATGTAAGGGTGCAGGCAGGCTGCTCTTCACTAAGGTGATGTGATTGCCACCTGTTGGACTTTCTACCAGCCACCAGTCCCCACCCTCTGGCTCTCTGGCACCCTTCCTTGCTATTCTGTTTGTTTAGCTGGGTAATCCAGACTCCAGACACCAATGGGTCATGTGGCTCCAGAATATAGCAAATGTTCAAGCAATCCCTCTTGTGTAAAGTAAGAAATTAGTTAATGGGGGGAAAAAGCAAAGAGGACAGGTGTTTGGGAGTTCCTCTGGGCTTGTACGGTAAAGACTTGATTGGTGCTTGTTGGTCATGCCATTTAAAGATCGTGAAACAAACATTTCAAGAGGCCCTAGTCACTGAGGTGTGTACTCACCGAGGGCATATATATTCCCTAACCTCTTCTCAACTTTTTGCAATTCAACCACAGTGAGGTGAGCACCTAACTTTGCTTGCCACCATGACACTTGGCCTCTCCTGGCTTTAGTGGGACTGACTGAGCATAGACTGAATCCTCTGAAACTGTGAGCTGACATAGCCCTTTCTCTTTTTCTTAGGTATTTTGTAGTGAAAATGGGAAGTTGACTAGCATAAAAAGTAATGGAATTTTCTTGCCAGCAAAACCAAACAGTGAAACAATCATACCTGTCAATAATGATTAAATTCCTACTACATGCAAGTCATTGTCCTAAATACTTTAAACGTGTTAAAAATTCACCCAGAAAACTGAATAAGTGAAAAACTACTTGGCTCTGTGAAGAAGAGCCAAAAGTCCAATAATTAGCCTCAAATCACATATCTGGAAAGGTGGGACAGATGAAGACAGGAAGCAGCACAGCTGGGCTCCTGAGCTGATGCTCTCTGAGCTACAGTGCCATGGAGACAGACAACAATAGGAATGGCTGATGTTGCCAGGCATGCTCCTGCTCTTGCAGGTGGGTGTTTACAAGATAAGCAAGGAATGCTGATCCCAACCATTCCCCTTGAAAGAAAGAAGAAAAGTGGGGAATAGCCCTCCTTCTTCTTTGATTCTGTTTAAGTGAGTTAGGATCTGGCAAATTTCAATCAGTATTTCACCTAGAAAATTTTTCAAATATTAAAATAAATAAGCAAATAAATAATAAATAAACAAATGGGGAATCATTTTCTATTAGAAAAAATAAATTTATAAGAAAGTAGAATTCTAGGTGCTTAGTTTTCCTCTTAGACCTTTAATTTCATGCTATAAATTTCAATACAACCACTATAATGTTTATGTATGTTCTGAAACTTTAGAAGTATGTGGCACCAAGGAGCTAATTTGTCTTTACTGGAACTCATGAATCCTTGGAAGGATTTAGTTTAGGTTCACTAAGTTTTTCTTGGGAAAAGTAGCAAGAATAATATTACAAGGTAAAAATAGAGAATGAAACTTGTTAGAAATGAGGAGTCAGGGCAAGATGATGCCTGTCTAACAGATATGAAATGTTATTACTCTGTAAAGAAATAAAAGAATAATAAGTTTAGAAAATTAACTATCAAATTACATTTTTTAAAGAGGGACACTTAAAATGTTGATGAACAAATATAAAATGATGACTCAGGGACACTAAAAGTAGGAAATGTGTGGGTTCTACTCGATAGTGCAATAAGGACTGGAGATTCCACTTTATTGCCCTTGTCATTAAACAGCAGAGTGCTGAAGAGGCAGCTGTGGTACTACCACAGTAAAACCAGCCTTTAAAAAGATGTTTCTAATTAAATCATGAAAATCCGAAAGAGGAAAGTGTTCGGGGAAACTGTCTTGAAGACCTTATTAATGGCGCAGTCACGGAGAGGGCATTATAAGACTTGAACTAGCAAACACCAATGCTCCTGTGCAAAGTGCCAGACAAGTGCATTGCCCTCCTGGAATCTCTTTTCCTATTTTGCTCTTGTTTTCTTTGATATCATGATCTTTTAGTTCAGTTCAATTCTAGCCATTTGGTTTCATGCTTTAATCTCTCTCCATACATGAACATGTACTATTTGTTGTTGTTCTTGCCTGGCACTTTGTATTCAACCTGTGTGAAGAATTCCTCTAATCAGTTCAACTCTTCTTTTCCAGAATAATGATACAATGTTCATTATTTAATGTTTGAATATAATTTTTGATTCGTTCTGATAATTTTCTCATATATACATTTGGTTTCAAAGTCAACCAAATTCCTTATGACAATAGCCATATTTCACTTTCTGTAGCTTTCAATCTCAAAGTTTCCTTTAATTCCTGTTTATCAATGTCTCAGTCCTCTTGTGCTTACCTAACCCCACCCCATACACACAAATTCTTTATTTGAAAAGCCTGACATGCTTTTCAAATTTTTTTATGGAGATCTTATTGTTTTTAATCAGTGGGCTCCAGGTAGTAAGGCAGAGCATATTTCAAACATATCAAAAGATTTTTTTTGTAGATCAACATTGAAGTTTTCACTTTGTGTGAAAATGGTCTTTTAATCTCTTGATAAGTATTAATGTTCTTCCACATTTATAATTAACAGTAACTATCTTAAATATTGAATATATTCCTCAGATAAAATATCCTGGCAAAAGATATTTAAAGTAGAAAAGTTATTTTATCTCACTGTTCGGGGTTACTACCCATCAGGTGGGAGTTCACAGCAACAGGAACCTGAGGCAGCTGATCATTTTACATCCATAGCAGGAGGTGGAGAGTAAGGTCTGTTCTATGCTCACATTCTTCTTCTATAAAATCTACCTCACAGAGTGGTGCCACCTGCATTGGTGGCTCTTCCCACTTCACTTGGCCTAATCAAAACAATTGCTTATTGCCATATCCAGAAGCCTCCCTCCCAGGTGAGTCTAGGTTATACTGAGATCAATTATCCTAGTAATCATTAAAACAAACACACAACAACAAAAATCCTAGGGATTACTTTTATAGTAATACATTTTATTCAGGTAAAGCATCCATCCATTTCACCACAACTGTTCTTTGGTGGGTTGAATAAAGTGTTCTCCACAGGCTCAGATATATGAACACTTTTTTTGAAGTACGTATGCCACTGGGGCAGACTTAGAGACTTCATATACCACACACATCCAGTTTACTCTCTTTGCTTCATGTTTGCGGCTGAAGATGTTATCTATCAATTTCCTGGTCCTGCTGGCACATATCCCTCCCACCATGATGGATTCTTACTCCTCTAGAACTGTAAGGTAAAATAAACTCTTCTCTACCATAAGTCTCTTTTGGTTGTGTTGTTTATTCATAGCCACAGTTAAGTTGTTGTTGATTTGACCAAAGGGAAAGACAACAATCCATATTTCTCTTATGTAATAATGCTATTTCTTTAGCCAAATTATTACATGACCTCATCTACATGGTTTATAGCTGGAATTATGTCCTCGCAAAGATCTCCAGCCCACTATTCTTCCACTCATCAATATCTCACCTTGCATGGGCAATGTGGCAGACCATTTTCTCTACTGTACTTAGGATACCTATAATAGCTAGGAAAAATTTCCAGGACCATCCATCAATTAATGTCATCAGACATTTACAACATGGAATGTTGGGACCGCAATGCCATATTATATTGTTAATTGCATTCTAGCACCTGCAGTTCCCATTTGAATTCTATAATTCTTCAACATTCCATATCTTCCTTAACTTCATTAGTAAATAAGCTTGCCTCCTACTTCAGAGACATTATCTTTATTCTCACCCCATCACTTCATGTACACCTGAATTCATGCTTTTCTTAAATAATAAAGAAGGAATACTTACCTGGCAGAGGAGATACCATGATCATGAAGGTGATTTTCCCAGGGTGAGGCTTATTCATTACACTCCAGATGTGCCAACCCCTGTGATTTCTCCAAATTCGGGAAGCAGGACTGCATAATATGTGGTAGCAGAGAACTTTGTTTACCTCTCCCCTGAGTAAAAAAAAAAAAAAAAAAAAGGAATCACAAAGAAGTATGCAAGAAAAATTAATATTTATTTTTCACTTTTTATAAAATTCATACCTTATAATAAGACACAAAAGGAGAAAGTGTGTATATTATTCAATGCAAGTGTCATAAATTGGCCTTCAAAAAGGAAGATCAGAGACTGGTGAGATGACGGCAAAAAGGAGCACTTCCTGCTCCTGCAGAGTTCCACAGTTCAGTACACAGGACTCACATCAGGTGGCTCACAGACTGCCCATGTTTCTAGTTCTGGGGAATCTAATTCCCTCTTCTGGTCTCTGCAGGCAGCCATACACACATGATATACATTCCTACCTCCCCCACATACACATAACTAGGTATAAGCCAAGAGTGGACAGTCATTTAGAAATGTGACTGCACAGGAGAGGGTGTGGGTGTGGCTTAATGACAACAAATGGAGGGCAGCTCAGTAAGGTCTGTTTGCTCTGATTCTTCACTGTATTTCTGTGTCTTCAGTGTTTCCTCGGGTATTAAGGGCCCTCCTGGAACAAAAGTCTTATGGTCTTTTCTAAAAGAAGAACAAGTATTGGTGTATGACTTGCTGCAGGGGAGGAGGGAGAAGTCAAAGAGCACCTCCATTCTCTCAAATGCCAAACCCCCATATTTAGGGTAGTAAAGCTGAGAACTTGTCCACTTCAGGTGTCCTCCTTCCTGATGAAGACCCATGCCTATGCTTGAGATTTGAGAACTTTCTGTCTGTTCTAAGACTTAATTTCCTATTGTTATCCATGTTTTTTTATTTTCCATTGATTTTTCTTACCATTTTAGTCATGCTTTTATTGCTGTGAAGAGACACCATGACCAGGGCAACTCTTTAAGAGGAGGCATTTAAATGGGAACTTGCTTACAATTTCAGAAGCTTAGATGATTATCATCACGTTAGGAACATGGTGGAATGCATGGTTCTAGAGCAGTAGCTGAGAGCTTTACATCCTGATCCAAAGGCAGAAAAAAGGAAAGGGAGAAAGAGAGAGACACACAGAGAGATTAGCCTGGCATAAGCCTTTGAAACCTCAACCTTCCCACCACTCCACCCCCCACACTTCCTCCAACAAGGCCAAACCTACTCCAACAAGGCTACTCCCTGGTGACTAAACATTTAAATATATGAGACAATGGGACATTTATTCTCATTCCAAGCATCACACTTAACTTCTCCACATATTTGGCCACCTCCAAGTCTTAAATAAACACCACTGCCGCCCCACCCACACCCTTTGCCTTTTCAGCTTCTACTACTCTCCCTTGTGATAAATTAGTTTGATCAGAGGACAAAACTCTTGCTTCCTCTGTTGCTCTCTAGTACTCAGGCTTCTTATAGTCCCTTCTGGAGGGCTTAATTGCCTCCAGACAGGAAAGTCTAGGTTGTCATGCATTGCTTCTTGTCTTCTTGGGTCTTTTGACACTACAGGAGAAGTTAAAGCAATTCACCTCTGAGAGTAGAATTTTCATGCTTATTTGTGCTCCTTAGTGGATATTTTTGGCTTAGACATTGAAGACTAGGTGCTCACACAAACAGGTGTTGCAACAGTATCACTCCCTTCAAAATACTACTGCAATTAAATATTTGGGTACCTCAGTGTTTCTGCATTTGGTTTTAATTTCATTGTATTTTCCACTTTGATGGTAATAAAGTAGAATTACTAGGTATGAAGTAGTGCAACTGTTTCCTGGCTACTGGGTTAAATGAGTCAAATAAGGAAGCATCTGTGAGTGCCCAGCTGTGCCATGATGGAGAGGCCCTGGAGTATGGCCCACTTATAAACATTATACTTACTGGATAAAGAACTGAAGGGCATCCAGTTTCTGTTAGGTACTATACCTTAAAATAGTACATTTCTAGCATATACTCCAATTATTCTTGAAAATAACGAGAAAGAGAGAAAGAAAGAAAGAATGACCATGTGTCCCCAAACCAGCAGAATATTGTCCTGCACTAGTCAACAGTCTTTGCAGATGCACTTATAGTTGAGTCATGTCCAAGGATTTGTGTACACATGTAATACCACAAGCCACATTATAGTGTATTCTTCCCAGGACAAATATTTTTATTAACATTTGCTTTTTATTTTGTTAATTTAACAATGAAACAAAGCCAGGAACTTTTTCTGGTGACCTGCCTAATTGCATACCCATGATGTGTTCTTTTCCCCCAAATACTTGTTTACCACAAGTACTTCTTTTTTGTTTTTGTTTTTTGTTTGTTTTATTATTTTTGTTTGTTTGTTTTTCAAGGCACGACTTCTCTGTATTGCTTTGGAGGCTGTCCTGGAACTAGCTCTGTAGACCAGGCTAGCCTTGAACTCACAGTGATCTGCCTGCCTCTGCCTCCTGAATGCTGGGATTACAGGTGTGTGCTTTTACTATTGTTACTATGTATGTGTCTATATGCATATGATATGTATGTATCTATGTACCACAGTGCACATGTGGATGTCAGAGAACAATTTTGTGGAGTCAGTTTTCTCCTTCCCTATTTATACATATTCTGGGGATCAAACTCAGATTATCAGGTTTGTGCACATGTGGATGTCAGAGAACAATTTTGTGGAGTCAGTTTTCTCCTTCCCTATTTATACATATTCTGGGGATCAAACTCAGATTATCAGGTTTGTGTGAGAAATGCCTCTTTCCATCTTGCAGACCCCAGTAGTTATTTAGTGATCATATTTAAATTACATGAGTCATTCTCTTGCTCCAGCTGGCATTCCTCTTCTTAGTAACGTCTTCTTTATACTTTATGGTTACAATATTTTATGAATATTCATGAGGGATTATTAGAGACCATTTATTTCAACTCCCTTTATTTTCTTCAGCCTGAGTTCAGCCCTTTTTTGAAGGTCATGTATTGCTTGTACTCTTGGATCATTCTCTTTCATATTGCATGGTTCACTCAATGCCAAGTGATATTTTTATGTAAATAGAAGAAAGTGACAATATCCTTGTCCTTGGCTTTATGCTCAGTTGGCTGGGAAGTGACCATGAGCATCATGCAGGGAAGCCCAAAGGCAACAAAGCCAGTTCCTCCCACTTCAGAATTCTCCCCAGACAGGAGGCTTTTCTCCTTTTTTTTTTTTTTTTTTTTTTTTTTTTTTGAAATCAAAACTTGTTTTTAACTTGGAAAACAAAGGTATGGCTTCTGATTGATGAATCTTTGTATATGAGGGTGGACAGGTGAAAGATGGAGGACCTTGGCTAAGCTGAAGGGCTGGTATCCAAATTTCATGTGCAAGCTCTCTGTGAAGCTCTCCTTCCCAGAGCCCCTACCCCCTTGATGGTTCAGAATTGAGCTTGTCTTTGGAGCCCATCAAGTGAACCATCCAGACCACTTTGCATCTCAGGTCAAAACCATTACTTTGCTTTAATGCTTTGACCATCTTCCATCTACCTTCTCTTTTGGAAATAATTTGCCTACCCCAAACACAAAGAGGGAACTTTGTGTTTTTAATTCATACATATGAAAGTTTTCTAAAATGAAGGAATTATACATAAAAATCTGTGTGTTATAGACACTGCCTTTTGCTTTGACTTACTTTGATAAAAAAAAGTTCTAAATTTTATGTAGTCATCTCTCAGTCTTTTCTATATTTTTGTTCTGTATACTATCGAAAAATTCTAGCTATTTTACATATTTGATGTTGGTGTATTACCCATTTATTTGTGTTGTTTAGGGTTTTCAGTGATAAATGTGTTGCCCATTAAATATATTTTAGCATATGGAAAATTCCCAAAAGAAAATTCTTTTGGAAAAAAATCTTTAAACAAGAACTTTAAAAATTAAACTTATGAAAATAAGAAAGTTTTCACCTGATTTCTTACATCCCTGTTCCTGTGTTTGAGGGTATCTTTGGTTTATAGAAGATAATTTTAAAAACTCTGATATATAGTACAAAATAAGTAATAAAATAGATATGACACTGTGCTTTCTAAGCAATTACATTAAAAACCAATTATTGTTGCTTTGTCCCCACTAGATTGAGAAAACTTTTAAATGTTAATCTGTTACACAATATAGATTTTATCTTGAAAATATCTTTGTGTTTTGTTTATCTATTTAATTTTATGTCCAAACTTTAATATGATTATAGTTGTATAAGCTGTTGCTATTAGTATTTGGCTCAGAATTTCAAAAATACTTTCGGTACCATATTATGTCCAGGGTGTTGTTCTTTTGATGCAATTAATGCCTATAAAACACAAACACAAGACTCAGCACACACGTGGAATTTATTGAGAGAGGGGAGAGAAAGAGGGGGTAGCTGGTGGCCAACCGAAAGCAAGAGAACAGAGAGAGAGCAAAGAAGCAGAGAGGCAGAGAGAGAGAGAGTGAGAGAGAGAGAGAGAGAGAGAGAGAGAGAGAGAGAGAGAGAGAGAGAAAGAGAAGCACTTGGCACGCTTGCTTTAAAAGAGGCTTGTGCATGTGTAACTGAGTCCTCTGGCCGCCAGGTAAAGCTGATGTAGCGATGACATGGCCATGAGCATCCCACCCATCGTCGGGGCGGGGGGTCAGCTGGCTGCTAGTTCCTAACACAGGGGTATGGGGAAAAATTATTGTCTTTGGAGATGCTTTGATTTCTCAGTACTTTGGAATTCTGAGCCATTAATTGTGTTTTTATCCTCTGATACTGTAGTTATTTTAGCCATGTTGTCCTATCATGGTGCATATGGATAAATAGCATGTTGAATATCTTAGCATAATTGTGACTCTGTCAATAGTACCTTTTTTGTTCTTTCATTTTCTTCCCCCTTTAACTATTTTTGCCATTTTGGCTCTGTTCCTTTGTACTTATTGTACTTAATATCAGTTCCCATGTGAGGATTGGCCTGGGGTTGGCCCAAAGCAGCTATGGAACCATTCCACAGCGTTCTCAGGAAGAGAGAAATGGTGAGATGAGGGCCATGGAGGTTATTTGATGAGGAGAGACTGGAAGTGCCAAAAGTCCTGGTAAA